ATCTGACAAAGTTATGTTCATCCAGACTGTGGATGGACACCAGGTTGGCTCCCTCTGACAAACAGTGGAACTCTGCATCAGCCCAGGTCATGTCTGTGGCGATGTACTTGTAGCAGCGGCCGTTGAAGCTGTACCAGAACATGGGACAGTTGCCACGCTGTAGCTTCACATCAGGAGAAGACACAGCACCCAGAGCCAGACCAAACAACAAGATGAGCGAGAGCATGTTGGCGTCTCTGTGTCACAGGAGCAGGATGAGGGGTCGTATGTTGGCTGGAGTTGATCTGCACCGCTGGATGGGATCAAGACCCTGAAGGAGAGAGGTGACAGGCTGCTTTCTTTTATATGCTTCAGAGAGGGTGTCTGCACTGTTGGCACAATGTTATTGGTCAGCTGAACTTGGCAAACACTTTCAGCTGTACACAACCACACAGTAACTCAACATGAACCAAAAACAAGACCACCAGCACCTGGACATGTCACATAGAAGTCGATAATTCATTCAAATAACTTTTTAAGGTTTTTGTGTTTAATTTCCTCCCCAGTCAAGACAGACTGATGTTTTTTTGAACCAGAATAAAGAAAGGTTTTTAATTTGATCAAACATTTCTGCCTTATTGCACTTAAGAGCTGCGATGAGACAAATATTTAAAAGGGTATCTGAGTGTTTGCTGCTCCACTCCTGCCTGATGCCTCTGTTACATACACTTAATATACACTTTATGCTGCTTGAACTCACAGCAGTGTGATTTCACTCTCATAAGTGAGCATGTAGTAAATGTTGAGTTTTATGTGCGATTAAATATTCACATGCTGAATAGGTGGTGTACTGTTACACCTGTGCTGTTCCCATATTTATCTAATACACAGAGACTGGAGCAGACATGGAAAAACACTTTAATAACTGAAATCAATTTAAACATTTCTACTTTGCACATTGAATTATTAAAACATGCAAAAACATTTCCTTTGAGCCACCATGTTGCTGCAGTGAGTCCCCAACATTCGCATAAATGAATGTGAATAAAATGACCTGTGTATGCACCTCACACACTTTTTTATTTTGGAGTTTCACTGCATGTACACGGAGCAACAGGTGGAAAGTTACAAGGTACATTCTGACATAACTAACTCAGAAACTTGCTGCATATTTTAAACTGTCTGTGTAAATGATGTCTGTGTATGATGTGATGTATGAAGTGATGGGTATTATTTTTTGCATTTGTATTGTGTATTGTTTATATATGCTGGCACTTTAAAGGAACAGCTCTCCTATCTCGTTATACAGGAATGCATAATGACAATAAAGGCTATTCTATTCTATTCTATGGCTGGTCACCACATTTCAAATCTTTATTATAGTTGTGAACACTGTTTTCATGACCGTCAATGTTTTCTTGGCTCTCCTGCATTCCATCAGACAGAGTCTGACCCAGCTCTGCATCAGCACACAGGTCAAAGGTGTGGCAACATACTTGTAGCCGTTGAAGCTGCTCCTCTCGTTTTGGGTAATTTCAGGGATATATTAATTAAACTTTGTAATACTGTTGTGATCAGTCTGCATTAATTAGTAACAGAGAAGGATAATGTGCAGTTTGCTTTCATCACTTACTGAGAAAATTCCCCAAACTCCTGAATTAAATGTAACTGGAAAGGTGTACCTGATTTTTTAAATTAGTTTTATTTATTGGTTTTTGGTTTTTTTTTAATTGATCTGCCATGAGAGAATGTTTTCAAGTAATTTTTAAAAGTCATCATTATTATTTTTAGTCGTATTAGTATTAATTAATTAATTTATTTGTTTATTTATTTTATGTTTTTGAGGGAATTCTTTCTTTGGTCACTCAGCAGCTCCATGCTACTACAATCATTCATTTTTTTATTATTAGTGTTTCGTAATATTTGTGATATTTTGATGTATTTTCGCATCAAAATATATTTTGAAGTCCTTCTACTGCTCTCACTCACAGCAGTGACGTTTATCAAAAATTAGTACCATTTCGTACATTGTAAGATGTCTATAAATGTCCATATGAATAGATAATAATCCTACAGATAAGTAGTTTCCTTGTGATAATGTCTACACATTAAGCCTGTGTTGTTCCCAGATGTAACATACACAAACACACACACACACACACACACACACACACATGTATAGTGTACATCTGTGTCTTTATTGTGGAGGCCACATGCATGTCAACAAAGAAACAGGTGAACAGTGACCAGGTTCAATCAGACGTATGTTACTGTCTCAGTTGCAAGGACAGGTTGAAGGAAATGCACAAACAGAGGGATAATAGGTAGAACACGGATAGTCATTCCATTGTGTGACACAGTTGGTGTAAGCACAGTTTTGGGTTTGTCCACTGTCTGGCGTGCCTGGATACCAATAGGTAAAGTTGACTGCAGACCCATCAGACCACATCCATGTGCCTTCTTTGTGGGCATCACTGATTCCAATCCAGGTTGGTCCCTCAGCATAGTCAAAGTTCTGGATCAGGGATCTGACAAAATTCTGTTCATCTTGACTGTGGATGGACACCAGGTGGGCTCCCTCTGACATACAGAAGATCTCTGCATCAGCCCAGGTCATGTCTGTGGCGACGTACTTGTAGCAGCGGCCGTTGAAGCTGAACCAGAACATGGGACAGTTGCCACGCTGTAGCTTCACATCAGGAGAAGACACAGCACCCAGAGCCAGACCAAACAACAAGAGGAGCGAGAGCATGTTGGCGTCTCTGTGTCACAGGAGTTGATCTGCATCATTGGATGGGATCAAGACCCTGAAGGAGAGAGGTGACAGGCTGCTTTCTTTTACATGCTTCAGAGAGGGTGTCTGCACTGTTGGCACAATGTTATTGGTCAACTGAACTTGGCAAACACTTTCAGCTGTACACAACCACACAGTAACTCAACATGAACCAAAAACAAGACCACCAGCACCTGGACATGTCACATAGAAGTCGATAATTCATTCAAATAACTTTTTAAGGTTTTTGTGTTTAATTTCCTCCCCAGTCAAGACAGACTGATGTTTTTTTGAACCAGAATAAAGAAAGGTTTTTAATTTGATCAAACATTTCTGCCTTATTGCACTTAAGAGCAGCGATGAGACAAATATTTAAAAGGGTATCTGAGTGTTTGCTGCTCCACTCCTGCCTGATGCCTCTGTTACATACACTTAATATACACTTTATGCTGCTTGAACTCACAGCAGTGTGATTTCACTCTCATAAGTGAGCATGTAGTAAATGTTGAGTTTTATGTGCGATTAAATATTCACATGCTGAATAGGCAGTGTACTGGTGACTGCAACAGCTGTTACACCTGTGCTGTTCCCATATTTATCTAATACACACAAACTGGAGCAGACATGGAAAAACACTTTAATAACTGAAATCAATTTAAACATTTCTACTTTGCACATTGAATTATTAAAACATGCAAAAACATTTCCTTTGAGCCACCATGTTGCTGCAGTGAGTCCCCAACATTCGCATAAATGAATGTGAATAAAATGACCTGTGTATGTACCTCACACACTTTTTTATTTTGGAGTTTCACTGCATGTACACGGAGCAACAGGTGGCAAGTTACAAGGTACAGTCAGACATAACTAACTCAGAGCCTGAAGACAGACTGCATGAGATGCACAGACAAACATTTATGTCTGAGAACATGGCTGGTCACCCCATTTCAAATCTTTATTATAGTTGTGAACACTGTTTTCATGACCGTCAGTGTTTTGAGTGTGAGTCTGTCCCAGCTCTGCATCAGCCCACAGGTCAAAGGTGTGGCGACATACATGTAGCCGTTGAAGCTGCTCCTCTCGTTTTGGGTAATTTCAGGGATATATTATTTAAACTTTGTAATACTGTTGTGATCAGTCTGTCACATTCTCATGTTTCTTGTCTTGTGTTTCCTGTTTTATTTTGAAACTCACGCCTTGTCTCGTTTCAGGGCTCTTCACTTCCTGCTGTCCTGTGTTTCCCACCTGTTTGTTTACCTACCTGTCTTAAAGTGTCACACCTGTGTCTCGTTGTCTCCCCTATTTAGTCTCTGTGTTTCCCTTTGTCTGTGCCAGTTTGTCTTGTACTTTGAGTCAGCGGTCCAGCCGTTTCTTTGTTAGTTTGCCTGCCTTGTGATATTGACCCTCTTTTTGGATTTCTGGATTTTGTCTTTGCCTGTCGTTTTTGGATACCTTTGCTTGAGTGACTGATATCTGTGTACCGATCCTAGCCTGAAGTTAAAGGACTTTGTTTTGAACTTTATTCCGTCCCTGAGTCTGCATTTGAGTCTCTTTTGGTTCAGTGTGATACAGTCTGCATTAATTCCCCAAACTCTTAAATCAAATTAAACTGGAAAGGTATACCTAAAGAGTTTTTCACTTTTTATCTACAGATAAGTCATTAGAGGATGTGTGCAAGTAGATTTACTTTTTAAATTATTAGTGTTATTTTATAGTTTAGGGGCCTTTCTGTGGTCTCTCTTATAACAAACAGAAGCTCCATGCTGACCCAGTAATCATTTATCACATTATTATTAGTGCTCATGTCGACAATATGAACTGAGAGATGAGCTGAAACATTTCTTCTGGTGTTGAAATGAGACAGGAAGTCTTTGTGCTGCTCTAACCCACAGCAGAGTCAGGTGTATCAGAAATTAAAACTATTTTTTCATACATTTTAAGGTGTTCGTTCATGTCCATAATCATCCTACTGGATAAGTATCCTCGGGATTATATCGAACCACTAAACTGTGTGAAACAGTGAAAGGAATGCAAATCTACAAAGACGTAGGGTAAAGAAATGTGTAGACTGAAACGTCATCATGTTTGAATACGCCCATATTGTGTTATTATATTTACTATTAAAGTTCATTTTGAGGTTATTAGAAAAGTGTGGAAATATTCTCTTTGACTAACCACTGGAGTCACCGGTGTGAATGTCCAACATTCATGAAAATAAAGATTAATGAAATGACTTGCACACTCATAACAGTGTACATTTGTGTCTTTATTGTAGAGGCCTAATTCATGCCAACAGAGCAACAGGTGAACAGTGATCAAGCTCAGTCAGACATATGTTACTGTCTCAGTTGCTATGGACAGTTTATGCGAGTTGCACACACAGAGGGAAAACCATAGGAACACTGATAGTCATTCCACTGTGTGGCATAGTTGTTGTGAACACAGTTTTGGCCGTCTCCACCGTTTGGCATGCCTGAATACCAAAAGGTAAAGTCAACTGCAGTCCCATCAGACCACATCCATCTGCCTTCACTCTGGGTGTCACTGAGTCCGATCCAGGTTGCTCCCTGAACAGGGTCAAAGTTCGAAACCAGCGATCTGACAAAATTCTCTTCATCTTGACTGTGAATAGACACCAGGTTGGCTCCCTCTGACACACAGTGGAACTCTGCATCAGCCCAGGTGAAACGTGTGGAGATGTACTTGTAGCAGCGGCCGTTGAAGCTGAACCAGAACATGGGACAGTTGCCACGCTGTAGCTTCACATCTGGAGAAGACACAGCACCCAGAGCCAGACCAAACAACAAGAGGAGCGAGAGCATGTTGGCGTCTCTGTGTCACAGGAGCAGGATGAGGGGTCGTATGTTGGCTGGAGTTGATCTGCACCGTTGGATGGGATCAAGACCCTGAAGAAGAGAGGTGACAGGCTGCTTTCTTTTATATGCTTCAGAGAGGGTGTCTGCACTGTTGGCACAATATTATTGGTCAACTGAACTTGGCAAACACTTTCAGCTGTACACAACCACACAGTAACTCAAAATGAGCCAAAAAAACACCACCAGCACCTGGACATGTCACATAGAAGTCGATAATTCATTAAATAACTTTTGAAGGTTTTTGTGTTTAATTTCCTCCCCAGTAAAGACAGACGGATGTTTGTTTGTTTTTCAAACAGACTAAAGGAAGCTTTTTATTGATAATGCTTTATGAGTGCCACAAGAATGTTTCTTTTCTGTAACTATCCCCAGAAAGTGTTGATAAGTGACCAGAGTCTGTCTTTGAAAGAGACTTTTTAATGCAAACACAAGGACTAAGCTGCTCATAACACTGACGTTCTGTTTGTAACAACACTTTGAGATCCTCTTTGACGTCGTCTGTCATGTATGAAATCAAAGATGCTTTAAATCACAGTTCTCCCCTGTCCACTGGATTCATTATGATCTCAGCTTAGTGTTGAAATGATGATGGAAACTTGTGGGACAAACGGTTTTTCCTGCATTTTACTCTCAGAGCCTGTAGTTAATAAAATATTCACATGCTGGATAGGCAGTGTACTGGTGGCTGCAACAGCTGGTACACTTGTGCTGTTCCCATATTTATCTAATACACACAGGCTGGAGCAGACATGGAAAAATACTTGTAATGTTATTATTAAATTGCAGAATGAAGGGAAAAGACAAGTATTATTCTTATTAGATATAACAAAGTTCCCTTAGTGAATGCCCAACACTTTCACATTTACATCTTCATTTTGGACTTTCACAGCATTTGAGGAAAGAGAAGAGCGTCCCCACACTGACCTGCTCTTCTGCTGCCCTCAAGTGGCCACAAAACATAACAACAAGTACTTTTATGTTCCAGCATTGCAGTTTCAGACCACACACATCTTTTCTTCTCATGGGTACACTTCTACACTGCTGATCCTCTGAACATGGCACATGTAACTTTAAAGAGAAGAAATAACACAGTGTTCCAAAGCCAAATGCATAGAAATAAACCAAAGTGTTGCTCATTTCAACACTCAGGAGTCTTGCGGCTACAACAGTCTATGGTGGCTGTATAACAGTCATTTTGCTGTATTTATAACTCTTCTTTAATTGTGCTAATGTTACAGTAGCTAAGCATTTTAGCTAAATGCTAAATTATTATTTAGCTGAATGCTTAGCAGCTAAATGGTCATTTGGTATTCAGCATTATCCCATAACTGCCTACAGACGCTGCAGTGGCTGCTGTTCAGCAGAGGTTACATAGTCTCACTTTAAAGGGGAAATCTACCCTGAGAATGTACAAAATAAGAAATGATGTGTCCTTGTGATTATGTCAAACTGCTAAACCTGTGTTGTCCTAAATTTAACACACAGACACATAGGCGTAGATTTTGAGGGGGAAGCAGGAGACTTGTGCCCCTCTCAATATTTAGAACATGGGCATTTGTCCCCACCTACTAAAAACCTGAAAGTAGCAGAGGACTTTTATTTTGACAGAACTAAAGACATTCACATAGAAAATTGATGCAGAAAATGCAGAAATCTGTGATTGATGCTCAAAATTTTCTGGCAGAGGACCCCCGCCCACACACATACACACACACACACACACACACACACACACACACACACCCTCCGCTACTTATGTGTCCACCCCAGTGTTGGAACAAAACCTACACCCTTGCACAGACACACAGTTGATGATGGACAGATGGAGAAGACATGCAAAGACACAAATAAATGTAAATCTATAAAAACACAAAGGGTAGCAATCTGTGGATTAAAAATCAGGTTTACTGTATTGCTATCATTCTAATCCTCTTAATAATACATGTTTGTTATGTACAATGAAGGGATATTATTATTATTGCAAATATTAGTAATATTAATTTTGAGATTATCAAAAAGGTATGGAAATATTCCTTTTGATCAACCACTGGAGTTACCTGTGTGAATGTCCAACATTCATAAAATGAAGTGACTTCTGTAAACACATAACAGTGTACATTTTTGTCTTCATTGTAGAGGCCTAATTCATGCCAGCAGAGCAACAGGTGAACAGAGATCAAACTCAGTCAGACGTATGTTACTGTCTCAGCTGCTATGGACAGTTTATGCGAAATGTACAAACAGGCATGAATAACAGAACAGTGATGGTCATTCCATTTCAGACCTGTACCAAAGTTGTTTATAACACAGTGTTCAGCTCCGCTAGTGTTGTTTGGCTCCCCTGTGGTCCAAAAGACAAAGTCCACTGCAGACCCATCAGACCACATCCATCTGCCTTCTTTATGAATGTCACTCAGTCCGATCCAGGAATACCCCTGCGTGGGGTCAAAGTTCTGGATCAGAGATCTGACAAAATTGTCTTCATCTTGAGTGTGGATGGACACCAGGTTGGCTCCCTCTGACACACAGTGGAGCTCTGCATCAGCCCAGGTCATGTCTGTGGCGATGTACTTGTAGCAGTGGCTGTTGAAGTTGAACCAGAGCATGGGACAGTTGCCACGCTGCAGCTTCACGACACAGCACCCAGAGCCAGACCAAACAACAAGAGGAGCGAGAACATGTTGGCGTCTCTGTGTCACAGGAGCAGGATGAGGGGTCGTATGTTGGCTGGAGTTGATCTGCACCGCTGGATGGGATCAAGACCCTGAAGAAGAAAGGTGACAGGCTGCTTTCTTTTAAATGCTTCAGAGAGGGTGTCTGCACTGTTGGCACAATGTTATTGGTCAGCTGAACTTGGCAAACACTTTCAGCTGTACACAACCACACAGTAACTCAACATGAGCCAAAAAAACCCCACCAGCACCTGGACATGTCACATAGAAGTCGATAATTCATTAAATAACTTTTGAAGGTTTTGTGTTTAACTTCCTCCCCAGTAAAGACAGACTGAGATTTTTTTTTTCCAAACAGACTAAAGGAAGCTTATTATTGATAATGCTTTATGAGTGCCACAAGAATGTTTCTTTTCTGTAACTATCCCCAGAAAGTGTTGATAAGTGACCAGAGTCTGTCTTTGAAAGAGACTTTTTAATGCAAACACAAGGACTAAGCTGCTCATAACACTGACGTTCTGTTTGTAACAACACTTTGAGATCCTCTTTGACGTCGTCTGTCATGTATGAAATCAAAGATGCTTTAAATCACAGTTCTCCCCTGTCCACTGGATTCATTATGATCTCAGCTTAGTGTTGAAATGATGATGGAAACTTGTGGGACAAACATTTCCACGTGTAAGTATTATTCTTATTAAATATGACAAAGTTCCCTCTGCGAATGCTCAACATTAGCAAAATGATTGTTGATTAAATGACCTCTGTACACACATTAACTTTCACATTTACATCTTCATTTTGGAGTTCCACTGCATTTACACAGAGCGAAATAAACAAATTTTACACAGTCATGACAACGGCTGAGAAAACATTAAATACACCCTCCTGTTGGTTTCCTGTCCATCACAGCATCTGATACCAGAGCAAAGAGAAGAGCGTCCTCACACTGACCTGCTCTTCTGCTGCCCTCAAGTAGCCACAAAACATAACAACAAGTACTTTTATGTTCCAGCATTGCAGTTTCAGACCACACACATCTTTTCTTCTCATGGGTACACTTCTACACTGCTGATCCTCTGAACATGGCACATGTAATTTTAAAGAGAAGAAATAACACAGTGTTCCTCTGATAAATAAAAAGCCAAATGCATAGAAATAAAACAACAACAACAACTTTCATGACACAGTTGCTGAATGATTTAAGGTAATATTGATATCAAACATTATTCTGGGAAGTTTTGAAGTAATTTAAGTTGTTGAATATTTGACAGGCATCACTTAATTTAAATTTGATAATCATTCAAGATGTATCACTCATCATCGTGTCGTGTTTGTGTTGTGTCGTGTTTGTGTTGTGTCGGCAGGAAGTCTAACAACACGTGGGTGAGCAACAACACCTACTGGGAGCTACGCAGAGACCCTGGCTTCAGTAAAATGGACTTTCCTGTGTTGTGGTAACCTCTGGATTTGACCAAACCTTTCCACTACAACTTTTCATAAAGAGGGAAGTTTAAAACTGAAATGAGACCAGCCTGCACGTGTCCTGACCTGGTTAACATAAATTGCTTCATGTCATGGTAACCCAAACCTATTTGGACTTCCTGCTTCCTCTTTCAGGACTGAGCAGAGCCTGTCGAACTTCTGCTGGTTTGGTTTCTGTTGTTCATTACATTTCTCCTGAAGGGAACATTTTCTTCTCACACACTGTTAGTGTAGACTAAAGATTCGTATCTTCTTGTTCTGTTGCATCTCAGTATTCACCAAAGTGCCTTGTCTTGCAGTGCCTCACACAATCAGCTGCTGTAGCAGTTATGCAAAAACACTTTTATTCAGACTGTAAAAAGAGGAAGGGATCAGGGTTGGAAGTGAACTTCTTCAAAAGATCAAAACTTGTTCAAGTGTGACTCCATCCAGTCAGCATTATGACCCAAGGATTTTTTCGTGACTCAAACCAGAAGCTGATCAGAGGTTCTCGTTATAAACGAGGGACTTCATTCTGTTTTCAGTACGCTGCCTTGTTATGAGTCATGACTGTCATAGGACTGTGGAAAATGTTTATCAATGAGGTAAACAGCAATAATATTACATGTTCAAAAAAGATAATAAACTGTTCAACAGCTGGAAGACATATGGTGTGTCACACTTTGTTTCAGTATGTGTAAGAATAAGTCCAAATTTAGTTTGCTTGTTTCTCTCCTAAAGTAAGGGTTATCAAAAAGTGTTCCTCTATTGAGACGATTTTATTTATACAGCACAAAATCATAAAACTGATCTCAGGACAATATTCATATAGATCAGGTCAAGACCGTACTCTTTCAATTTACACAGACCCAACAATTCAAACGAATTCCCACCAAGAGCAAGCACCTATTTTTCCCCGTTGTGTGACAGTGCCGAGGAGAAACTTCCCTTTAACGGGAAGAAACCTCGAGCAGAACCATGACTCTATGGTGGGCGGACATCTGTTGGGTTGGGGACAGAGAGGGACAGACAGAGAGTTAGGCACAGCAACATCAATAATAAGTACAAGTGTCATAATGGGGCGCCCGGTGGCTCAGTGGGTAGAGCAGGCATATCTTTCGGACTGTGGGAGGAAAACCAGAGCATCCCGGGAAAACCCATACTGGCACAGAGAGGACATGCAAATGTTTTGGCAGGTTCTTACCCAAAACCTTTTTTTTCTGTGAGGTGAAAGGGCTAACCTCTGCACCACCATGCCAGTCCAAAATGTGATGTCCTCTTTATCTTCTACAGCCTCATGTTCTGCAAGATCTTCTGCAAGGGGCGTCTGTCTTTCACTGGGATGAGTCTATCCCAGAGGACCAGGAGCTCCTTCTGGTGGGCAAGTCCCTGGAGCATCTGTTGTCCGTGGTACCTGTACAGAAATACATTCACATAAGCAATTTAGTGTCTAAGCAAGATTGAACAAACAGACAGCATTATTCACAGAACCTACAAACCATAAGATCAGGCAAGACTTGGCAACCCACCTGACTTCTGGAGCAGCATCCACCGCCATCTTACTAACAGCAGTACTGAAACTCTCTGCAAAGGCCTTTTCAGATGTTCCTCTCCAATGATGTCGGCTAGGTGGTGGAGGTGCTGTGCTCCCCCTCACTGCAGCACAACGGTGGCTGAAGAGGGACAAAATCTGGAGAATGACCGCCATGTTTTATTTAATTTATGCTTCCTACTAAATTCTGTTCAAAAACTCTCCTCTTCCTGAGCCCTATGTTGAGGAGAGCGCTTATTACTCTTTTAGGGCTGCAGCCCTCCACCAGCGCATCCAGCACAAGGTTAGCCTGGTGATGGATGAAGGCGCTGCTCTTCTGTGCCTACCTACCTAGACAATATATCAAAACATCAGTCAATACTTCTGCGTATACAGTAGCAGAAGTAGACAAATGAGAACTACATGCAACACAAGGACACAGAAACAAAAAGGAAAATGTCTTCAATACCCCTTCTGTGAGGACCAGGCAGACCTGACGCAGTTTGGTCTGCAGTATCTCTGGATGGTGTCGTGCCAGAGCTCGGACAGATTTACATCCATCCATTTTCTTCTCCCTATGTTTACATGAGAAAAATGAATGAACTTTGGTAATCATTGCTTTAGGAACAACAGACTCTTGTGTCGTTGCCGGCTATGCTTTTAAAATCTCTCTCTACACTTCTGTTGTGTTGATGTCCTACCAGTCATCTGAGTTCAGCTGCTCGAAGCAGAGGGACAGGCTCTCTGTAGGTCTGGCCAGAGGCTGGAGGTCCTCCTGATCTGAAACAGCCTTTGCAGGGCAGAGTTTTGTCCCACGATGTGGTCCTTTTTTATTGGGTGGGGCAGATGTTGATGGAGGTGCTGGAACCTTTGGTGCTTTGGCCAGTTAAGGTCCCACGACAAAGTCCTCTTCTGTTAGCTGTTGGTTGAGGCGCTGAAACCTTAGGTGCCATAGCATGGGTCCTTCTGGGGGCAGCTGGTGGTTTGGGTTGATGATGGATAAGCTGGAACTTCTGCAGCATCTTAGTGAGTTCCTCCATCTTGGTTTGCGCTGACTGGAGCTTGTATCCATCAGCTACCTCAGCTCAGTGGGAGTATGTGTGTCCACAGAGCTGAGGGAGGAGTCTGGGCTGGGGCTTCTGTCACTGGCTGTCAGTAAGGGATCCTCTTCATCCAACGTCTGGTTGGTCCTGGATTTCAGACCCATGTTTAGTCTGGGCACACATTTAATGATTTATCTATTCTCTGTCTTCCCCATGCAACATTTCCAATTTTCCTCATGCTTTTATCAGGATCCATTGGAGGCATTGGCCAGTCAGGCAGTTGACCTTATGGTTCAGCCACTCTGCTCACCCTGCATATGAATCATAACTGAATGACTAGGTCCACAGGAATTGTTGAATCTCTGTCAACAAGCTGTTGGAATGTTTGAATGAGGTCATGTAAGTTGCCTGAATGGAAAACTATGTGCACATCTGTATCCTCAAATTAAATAACATGATTGTTGTTTTGTCTATAACAGTTTCAACCATTATCCATATATTGTACTACTTACATATATAAATATATATACATATATATGTGTGCGTGTGTGTGTGTATCTATATATAGATATAAAAATATATGACCCCTCCTCAACACAATCTCTTTCTCTCTGCCTGTCCCATCCCTCCTCCACACACGGCCAAAAAGTTTTTTTTTGGTGGAGTTTTTCCTTATCCGATGTGAGGGTCCTAAGGACAGAGGGATGTCGTATGCTGTAAAGCCCTGTGAGGCAAATTGTGATTTGTGATATTGGGCTTTATAAATGAAATTGATTGATTGATTGACCTCACCTTCTGACGTTTTCCTTTTTGGTCAGATTCACAGAATACAGTTTTATACAGTCCATGGCAGCAACAGCCATGTTTGCAGCAACAGGGTTACTATATAAACTCAATAATATCTTACTGGAAACAAATCTAACATGTCAATAAAATAAATATTCCTCCTGACATCACAATAATGAGTGAAGAAAGTATTGTTATATCAGCATGAAGACAAACATCAGTATCAGTCATTCATCCTGCTCTCTGTCCCCCGTCTACTGACAACAATTGGAATATTTACACACGTTAGGAAAGTCACTTATGTAAAGGAGGAAAAGTAAGGGGCCCAAGATGCTGCCTTGTGGAACTCCCATATTACAAGTTAGAGGGGTAGATGTTACCTTATCGATTTTAACAACTTGAGACCTGTTAGATAGATAAGAAGAAGGGATTTTTTTTATTAGCTAAATTAGCTAAATTTATTCAGCAGAATCTGATGATTCACTGTATCAAAGGCTTTGCTGAAGTCAACAAAAATGGCTCCAGTGACATGACCTTTGTTGAGTGAGTTTTATTTGTTCAGTAAATATCAATAGAGAAGACAGGTAGTTGATTGGGTGGAATGGAAACCATACTGGAAGTCACTGAGGAGGTTATTGCTTTCAAGGTGAGTGCTAAGTTGGTTGTAAAGGATTTTTTCCAATAAATTTGATAATACTGGAAGAATGGATATTGGCCTGTAATTTGAATCCAGGGTTGGATCCTAAACAGGGGTGATTTGAGCTGTTTTCCAGTTGGAGGGAAAGATAGAGAGCCTGATACAGTGATTAGTCAGATGTTGGAGAAGAGGCATAAGGCTGTCGGCATGAGTCTTTAAAAAATCCATGTTAAAACCATAAATATCACAAGCACAAGAGGTTTTCAAGGAGTTCAAAATGTTAAACATTCCATGCTGTGTAACCTCAGAGAAGGAGAACTGGGGGTTGTAGAAGGAGAAACAGATGTAGTATATCATGAAGAATCAAAGTGAGATGCCAGTTCTTTAACAGATGTCACAAAATAATCATTGGAAGCATTTGCAATCTTTTCAGTTTCAGTAATAATGGTGCCTTGTACAGAAATTTGAATGTTGTCATTTTTATCCTTTTCATATTCACCAGTGATGACTTTGAGGGTCTGTCATAGTGTTTTAGGTTTTGAAGCAGTTTGGATGATTTGTGTTTTGAAGTAGGCAGCCTTGGCTTTGCGCAGTTCAGTACTACATTTGTTTCTGAACTCTATGAATTGTGTTTTACTTTCTAAAGTTTTTGAGGTTCGATATAAATTGAGGGAGAGAGTCTTCCGTTTTAGTAGTTGCAGAATTTCATCATGTAACCATTGTAGTTTGGACTGTTGGGAGTGTATACTGTAAGCAGAGGTATATGTTTTGCCAGTGGATTCCACTTTGTGATAAATCAGGATTTGTTCTGGGTTTTTGGATGATAATTCATTGCTCCAATCAATGTCTCTAATTTCAGCATTAAATTGTGACAGTTAAGAATTTGGTATTTTTGAGATGAAGTGGCGAATGTGGCTTCAACAGTTTTCGTTACAGTGTAATCAAGAGAGTGAACTGATATTGGGGTGTGTATTACTCCTGCCATTGTGTGTTTAGAGGATTGATTAGTGAATATAAGGTCAAAGACTGAACTGCAAGTGTTAATGATTCTGGTAGGCTCCTTGATTAATTGATAGAGACCAAGCTTTATTGCAGTTGCTTTCAATGATTTTGATGAGCTCTCATTACAGTCCAGGTTGATATCACCCAGTGTAACAATCTCCTTTGTTTCAACTGATTTAATCAGATCAGTGAGCTGTAATAAGAAATCACTTGTACTGATACTGGGGGGCTTATAGGTGACAATAACTGTAATTGCATTATAATGTGTGAAATTTACCACCAGCTGCAACTACTCACTTTCAGTAACAATTTTAGCTAAGTAATGCTATTTCAACTGTTTATCATTTACTTTCAGCCAATTATTTCAAAGTTTATTAATGACTTTTCACTAACTGATGCTATTTCAACTGTTTCAACTGTTTTGTTACTTTTAGCCTATTATTTCAATGTTTACTCATCAGTGTTAGCTAACTAATGCTATTTCAACTGTACTGTACATAGTCCCCTATGGTAGCTATAACATGATGCAGTGCCCTTCTAATGGAGAAAAATCATGATTCAACACACTATCTGGTGCATTTTAAATGTAGAACACATGGTTCAGTGCCACATAGACTGCCCTACATGCTCGAAAACTTTTTGCACACTGGTGCCCCACCACATGCAGCCGGAGTGAACAGCCTGAGCCTCCACTTAAATAAACAAGTAGCCTAATAATAATACAGCAATATAAATAATAAGTACATAGGCTAATTACTTTTGATACTAATGTACACTTTGCTGATAAAGTTTTATCTTGAGTAAAATTTATGGATACTTCCTCCACCACTATTGGCGTTGGCTACGGCACCCTCAGCAGTGTGTTACAGTAGTCTTGAACCGGCTGTGACTATAGTGTTTGTGCATGTGGGTGCATCCATACCTCGGGGTAACAGAGGGCCATTATCTCTACATCTGAGTGACAACTCCCTGTCAGCTTTTACAAAGTTACTACTTATCACCACTGGTCATATTCCAAAAATACACCCACCCACTCACACACACTTTCTTCTAACCCCATACCTTACATCATTTCACTTTAAATCTGAACCCCCACATATTATTTGTGGCCATTAACAACGCTTATATAGACATGGTTCCTTTTTAAGGAGATTTGACCATTTAAAATGAGGTTTAACACTGAAATGTCAACACCTGCCACTGAAAAAAAAATCTTTCACTAAGCTACAAAGGTGTGCCTCCTGAAAGGATGTGGTGTAGTTGGTGGCAGTGTGTCATAAACCCCCCTCTGCTGGCCTACTTTCAAAAAAACACATTAGCAGCAAAATGCACTGAATTTACTTTAAAAAACAGGGCAAGTCTGCTCATGTTCTGACACACACACACACACACACACACACACACACACGCACGCACGCACGCACGCACACACACACACACACACACACACACACACACACACACACACACATACATACCAGAGTTCATGTGATCATAATTAACTCTCCAGTGAGAGTGGGCGGAGGAAGCGGCCTGCGCCCTCCTCTGTGAAGTGGATAACTGTACTCAGTCTCTCTCCCACCATTCAGCCACAGCTCTGACCGAACACTGCTGCTGTCCGCTCTACCTGCGGTTTATAGGCTATTTTATAACGGACCTTACACTGTTGAAAAGTGACACTGTTACATCAGGAGGACTTCTGATCCGCGTTTGGACAACTTGGTGTGCTCTTACGCATGGCAACATCGGTGACGTTCCAGGAGTGACAACTGAGCGGACCGGTGCTCTAAACGTGCGACACTTAATCCGTATTTATAGAGCTGTTTAGAAGCTATTTGAGGTAAGTGACACCTTTATTGATAAGTAGTCATTTGTCTGTGTTTTTGTCCCAGTCCAGGCTACTGGAGATAACCAGTGATGTCTGCTTGTTGTGATTTTTCCCCACTTTTTTTCTTTTTCATATTCATAATCCAAGTCATGCGTGCGTAAGGCTCGCGCGCAGCTGATCTCACTGTGCAAGCACGCGCGCCTCTCAGCTACTGCAGCCTGGTTACATTAGAGAAAAAGTGGACTGCCGGGAAATACACACGCGCGCTGGCGCACGTGTCAAGTGTGTGTGTGTCTGTGTGGTTGTGTGTAACAAACGGAAAGAATGTTGTGAGGCCACTGACCACTGAGCTTTACCAACTGTTTATGTTGGCAAATAGTTTTTATTATAAACTGTACTGTCTTTTATTATTATTTTTTAAATCTTTTTCTTGCTATGGACCAAGAGTGTGACGTCACACGAGCTTAAAGGTGGATAAAAGCCTACTTTCCTTAACAAAAAAAGGATACTGCTTGTTGTTTGCTTTATGGTGATTAGCCAAGTTCCTTAGATTCCTTAGGTATCTAAGGAACCGTTATATTTTCCATTACTGCATAGCCCAGTCTTGGTGACTTGCCACCTTAACCTTGTGAACTATGTTTAAATCTTACATTTAATGTCTTTTTCCCCTCTTGTTTCAAACTAAACAAAAGAAACATAAAATATTTAGAAAAAGCATAGCTGAGCTTTGAATTTCGAGTTTGCGTAAAGGTAAAAGTCCCCACTGACATTAAAACAAGGGTTCAATAATTCAGAGCAAATGACTCAGCAGTGGGAAAACGTGATAAGGGGATTTTGTGTTGCTCTTATGCAGGAGAAGGTGGTGGCGTTCTTGATTCACTCCCCTGTTTCATATTTATTTCCCTGACTGG